CAAAATGATTATTGTATTAAGTTATTCATTCATTCATTCTTTTACTTAATTTATTAACTACAGGTAGTCCTCATCTTATGACCACAAATGACCCCAACATTTCCATTGCTAAGCAAGACAATTGTTAAGTGAGTTTTCCCTCATTTGTATAATCTTTCTGGCCATAGTTGCTAAGCGAATCACACGGTTGTTAATTGAATCTGGCTCCCACATTGACTTGGAGTGTCAGAAGATTGCAAAAGGAGATTGTGTGACCCGGGGACACAGCAACCGTCATAAATACGAGTCAGTTGCCAAGCCTCTGAATTTTTGATCATGTGACTACGGGGGTGCTGTTTATGTGCCGTAAGTCCCTTTTTTCAGTGCCCTTGTAACTTCAAACGGTCACTAAACGAACGCTTGTTAGTCCAGGGCTTCTTGCACTTTCACCTTTCACCTTTCACCCCAAGAGACCAAATGGCTCAAAATGGTTTCCCTTCCTTTGTGTTTTATTTTTCATATCAGTGTTGTGAGGCCAGGTTAAGTTCAGATATTTTGATGTGCTGGCAGGTTTTGAGAGGCAAAATTACTTTTTTTTTTTTTTTTCAAAGTTGGAAAAATGCTAACTGTGATTCTTCCCTTTTGGGGCACTGCAAATTCGCCAAAACTGATTCATCTCGGCTTGGTTTCTGTTGTGACACCGCACAACTTTGCAACCAGCCTTCAGGAATCTTGAGGGATCTTGTCAACCTCTCAAAAATTCCTTGGAATCGCCAACTCATCCTGATTTTATCTCTACAGTCAGGAATTGCCCCAGGCTAGAAAAAAGAAAAAAAAAGACATTATTTCCAACCACAGGATGCTGGTTTTAGCACTGGATTGCCAATATTTAGGTAAATACATCCTTTCTTCCTCTTTGAAAATTTTTCAATTGGCATCTTACTCATTATCTACTCATTGCTTTGGGAAATGAGATCAAAAAGAAAAAAAAAAGGATTTATCCATTTTAAGGCATGCTCATCTGGTCCATTTTATTTATTTATTTCTACTTATTTAATGTTAACACAAACCACAATGGCCACAGCTCTGTGCAGAAGCTAAGATAAAACCATTATCATTGTAACAAAACCATTTTTTTTAAAAAAATATCCTTTTCTTTATCTTGATATGGGTAGTCCTCGACTTAAAACCACAATTGATCCCAAATTCTCTGTTGCTAAGCCAGGCAGTTGCTAAGTGAGTTTTGCCCCTTTCTTGCCCCAGTTGTTAGGCGAATCGTTGCAGTTGTTAAGTGAGTAACATGGTCGTTAATTGAATCTGACTTCCCTACTGACTTCGCGGATTAGATGGTCACACAAGGGGATCATGTGACCTTGGGACACTGCGACCATCATAAACGCGAGTCAGCTGCCAAGCTGTCCGAATCTTCACCACGTGACCAATGGGGATGCTGCAATGATAGTAACTGTGGGAAAAATGGCCGTAAATCACTTTTTTCAGTGCTGTTGTGACTTCAAATGGTCACTAAATGAATGATTGTAAGTCAAGGACTACCTGAATCGGAGAGTTGGTCCGCTCATGGGAGTGGTAGACACCACAAATTTTGCAGTTGTGACTTGGGCAAATTTTAGGAATGTAAAAGAAAAAAAAATTCAAAAGAAGGTTTTGGGGAAAGTTTCCATACTGTTGTTTAAAAAGCATGAAGTCACAAGGAAGCGACTTTGCTCAGAATGGGGGCCGGCGAGGTTTGGAGCAGAAATGACTACATACTGTAGTCTCATCGTCCCCTGGGTCCTTCCTCCCCTGCCTCATTAAAGGATCTTTAATAAATTGCAAGGAACACCGGGAAATAAAGTTCCTAGAATAGCGATCTCTTCCAGAATCAGGCCTGCGGGAATCCGATGGTGCTTTCTGTCTGAGGTTGGTAGTTTTTTGCAAACGTTTCCTGACCCAACTAAGGAACATCATCAATGCTAGAAGGGAGGTGGGTTCTGGAGAGGAGGAGGAGGGGGAGGACTCTGGGGTTCTTGGTACTTCCTGAGCTTGGTTGTTTTCTTGCAGACATTTCATGACCCAACTAGGTGACATCATCAGTGCTAGAAGGGGAAAGTTCTGGAGAGGAAGAGGTAGTGGAGGACTGCAGGGTCCATGAATACCATGAAATATCTGCAAGAAAATTTCCAACTTAGAGAGCACCAAGGACCAGTCTTTTTCCTTGTACCCCCCTCCTAGCGCTGATGATGTTTCCTAGTTGGGTAACGTGACGTCCTCAAGAAAACCACCAAACTCGGAAAGAACCAAGGACCCCCCGGTTTAACCCAGAGCTAGAAATAAAGCTTTCGACCTAATGGCTGACACATCTTTTCAAGTTGAGAGATCAAAAGAAAGATGGACGTTGAGCCAATTTTACGGAGGATTATATTTTATTTCAAGAAGGGCAACCTGAACCAGATCCAGAGGAAAGAAAAAAAAATCCACAAGGTCGCAGACGAACTGAGTTCGACTCATCCCTGGGCTGTTTGGGTTGCAGATAGTTCAACCCTTTGTTTTCCATTCTTCCTTCTGGGGTATATAACCTTTTGTTCGATTTATCATAGCCGAAAGGAAGCACCACGTAAATGCAAATCTGCTCTTGTTTTGTCTTGAATGGATTGGGAGGGAAAATTGATAACGCATTTCCTTTTCGGAGGGGAAAATTTGTCATCCAATTAAAAATACTGGGAGTCCTGATCTTACAACCACAACTGAGCCCAAAATTTCTGCTGCTAACTGAGACTTTGAAAAGGCCCATTTTATGACCTTTTTTGCAACAGTTGTTAAGTGAACCACTGCAGTTGTTAAGTTAGTAACACGGTTGTTAAGTGAAACTGGCTTCTGCGTTGACTTTGCTTGGCAGAAGGTCGCAAGAGGGGCATCACATGACACCGCAACTGTCATAAATAGGAGTCAGTTGCTAAGTGGCCGAAGTTTGATCGTGTGGCCATGGGGATGCTGCAAAGGTCGTAAGTGTGAAAAACAGTTGTAAGTCACTTTTTCAGTGCCGTTGTAACTTTAAATGGTCAATTAATGAACTCTTGTAAGCTGAGGACTACCTGCACTAAAATTATAGGTAGTCCTTAACATAACATTTAATGACTGTTTGTAGTTAAACGAGTAGTGAAAAAAGTAACTTATGGCCATTTTTCACACTTTTGACCAGTTCAATCTGATCAAAATTCAGAAGCTTAGCAACTGACTCATATTTATGACGGTTGCAATGATCCCTTTTTGTGACCTTCTGACTAGCAAAGTCGATGGGGGAAGCCAGATTCACTTAACAACTGTGTCATTAACTTAAAAAGGGATTCACTTAACAACCACATCAGCATATGTCATCAAATGGGGCCAAACTTGCTTTACAACTGTCTCAGTCGAGGATTACCTGTAGTTTACTAGAAAAAGGTTAAGAATTTATGCAAAAAAGCAAAGATACGTTAGGCAATGCCACTTACGTTGGCTTCGGGAAAATGAGAATGTTGTATGTGTGTGTGTGTGTGTGTGTGTATATGTGTGTATTTCATTTGTCACATCCGTTTTACAAATGGTTTTATTTTTTTAAGGAGTCCAACTCATTGACTTTGTCAGAAGTTGTCATAATATCTTTCTTCGCTTTCTCATCAGCCTCTGATTCACCCCTTTTGAATGAAGAAAAGGTGGCTAACGAATTCAACATTTCGTGTTATGAAATATTGTCCTTTTTTCATACGTGGCTCGTTTCTTGGGAGATTTTCGTTCCCCTGGAATTTTGCATCTCTGGGTTAGAGGAAAGTGCCCGTCGTGATTTTCAAAAGACACCAAATCCTAAATGTGTAACTTTTTTTATCCCACCTTTATTGTTTTTGATAAATAACTCCAGGTGGCAGATATGCAAAAGTTCCTTCCTCTTTCCTTTTCCTCCATAACAATCACCCTGTAAGTTGGCTGGGCTAAGAGACAGGGATTAACCCATACCTAAGATGACACTAGAACTCACCATCTCCCAGTGATTGGCCCACCCAGTTGGCTTTCATGCCTAAGGCGGAACTAGAACTCCCCGGCTCCTGGTGATTGGCCCAAAGTCACCCAGCTGCCTTTCATGCCTAAGGCGGGACTAGAACTCCCCGGCTCCTGGTGATTGGCCCAAAGTCACCCAGCTGGCTTTCATGCCTAAGGTGGGAGTAGAACTCACGGTCTCCTGGTGATTGGCTCAAAGTCACCCAGATTCCTTTCATGCTTAAGGCGGGACTAGAACTCCCCGACTCCTGGTGACTGGCCCAAAGTCACCCAGCCGGCTTTCATGCCTAAGGTGGAACTAGAACTCAACGTCTCCTGGTGGATGGGTCACCTAGCTTTTATGCATGACAGGACTAGAACTCACCATCTCCTGGTGATTGGCCCAAAGTCACACAGTTGGGATTTCCGGTTTAAGGCAGGTCTAGAACTCCTGGTCTCCCAGCTTCCACCCTGGCGCCTTAACCATATTAGATCAACTGGCCCTCTCTGAATGCCCCAAAATCTATACAATCACAAGTTAGCTCCGTGAGAAATGAAACTCACTGGAATCAAAAAAATATTTCTTGCCCAATGAAAAATAAATTCAACACTGATGTCTAAATGGATGGTCAAACTCAACTCTTCATCTCTAAGATGATTTGTCCAGGCAAATATTCCGGTTTAAAGCATCGGTCCATCTAACATGCAAAGACAAGGATTGAATATTCCCAATGTACAGTATCATAAATGACCAAGCCCTCTTCTCAACCTTGTCTAATGTGTTGGTGGTTCACAAATAGTCCACCTGGAAAGAGGTCACATCAACTCCAAAGTTAGTTATCAGGACCCCGTGCCTTTGAAGGAAGTCCTTGTCCACAAGGTTGGACAGGAGACTCCCGTAAGTTCTCAACCACCTTGGTTCTTCTGGTGGAAGCTTCAAGATGAGGCAGAGGGAGACATTTTGGGGGGAAAACTCACTTCTGATTCTCCCCTTTCCTGTTCTTTTGAAGGTCCTTGGCTATCGGTCATCAGTACTCCTCACTGGGAACTCAGCCCATCCTCTGTGGGAGCATTCCTGGCCTAGTACCCAAGCAGCTTCGATTCTGCAGGAACTACGTCCAGATTATGCCCAGCGTGGCCGAAGGAGTGAAGATTGGCATTCAGGAATGCCAGCACCAGTTTCGTGGAAGGAGGTGGAACTGCACCACCGTCAATGACAGTTTGGCCATCTTTGGACCGGTGTTAGACAAAGGTGAGTGTCCTGTTTTAGAATAAGGTCACCCAACTTTTGGAAAGGAGGGGGTGGTGGTACAAGGAGGATCTCGGGGGGGGCGGGTGTTAGGAAAAGAGGTCTTTGTAGAAATGAAGGAACGTCATCAGCAGGGAAGATAGTGGTGGAACATCTCGGTTCTTCCTTGGTTCCTGTTGTTGTGCAAATTCGTGGAAAGATTGGGGTGAAGTTATGTGGAGTATTCATCAGCATTCTTGTATAATTGTGGAGGTTTCTAGCCAAGGATAAATCTGGTGAGATCAACAGGGGTCACCTAGGCACATCAGGAAAATGGAATTAAGTTCTGTGGTCTGGTGAGATTAACCAAAGCCACCTTAGATATCTCAAAGAAATGGAATTAAGATCTGTGGTCTGGTGGAACCAAAAGAGGCTACCTTGGGTATTTCAGGCAAATGGAATTAAGATCTGTGGTGTTGTGAGATCCAGCAAAGCCTTGTCTATCTTTTCCTTCTCCTCGTCTATCTCCTCCTCCTCCTCTCCTCTTCACCTTCTCATCTATATTATCCCCCATTCCTCCTCCTCCTTCTCATCCTCCTCTTCCTCATCCAGATCTAACATTTCCTTTCCCTTCTCCTCGTCTAACTTCTCCTTCTCTTTTTTCCTTCCCCTTCCCCGTCCCCTCATCCAGGTCTACCTTTCCCTCTCTCCTTGTCTATCTCCTCCTCCTCATTGTTTACCATTCTATCTTCTCCTTCTTGTTGTCTATCTTCTTTCTCTTCCTCTCCCTTCCTCTCCTCTACTTTCCTTCTCTTTCTCCTCAACCTCCATGTCTATCATTCTCCCACTGCTTGTCTATCTTTTCCTTCTTGTTGTTGTCTTTCTTTCTCCTCTCCCTCCTCCTCCTCCTCCTCTCCCACCCCTTCTCTTCCTCCATCTCTACTTTCCTTCTCTTCCTCCTTCTCATCTAACTCCTCCTCCTCCTCCTCCTCCTCCATGTCTACCACTCTCTTCCTCCTTGTCTATCTCCTCCTTCCCCTTTCCCTCCCCCTCCTCACATTTACTCTTCCCTTCTTCTCCTTCTCCTCTCCCCCCACCCCAAAGTAATCAGCCAAATTGGGTCGTGAAGGGAGGCCTGCTCAGGGTGGGGGGGGGGGGGCGTGATACTATTTCATAACTGAAGAATGTAGTCCCTGGAGGCAGAATACGGGCCCCCCCGTTGGTCTCCCTCACCTACAGCAGCAGCCGGCTGGGTCGGGGTTTGGGGGTGGGAGGTGAACAAGGATTAAACATCTCAGCCACATTCTTTAGGGTGGCCTCGGGGAGGAAAAACATAGCTTTGCTCAGAAGGAAAGGGCTGGATTTCAGCGATGCCAACGCTCCTTCTTCTTCCCCGACTCCCTCATGTCCTATTGACCGCGTTCAAAACCAAAGTAGCGTGTCATCCTTGCGCATCCAGATTCGCAGAACCTCACACACAACCCAAACCACAGAGAAATTCCTTGGGTTGTGTTTTTTCCCCCCTAGTTTCAAGTGATTCCTCCTGGAATCTTAGAGCTGCCAGCCTTGACTGCTACGCTGCCCTCTACACGGGGCTGCCCTTGAAAAGCCTCCTCCGACTGATTCCAAATGCGGTGGTTTTGTGCAAGCCTGGATTTGCGCACAAGTCACAAGTTCTCGGCATTGGTTGAGGATTTGCTTCCGGGTCTGATTCAAGATGTCGGTGGCCGCCTTCCAAGCCCTTCAAAGGTTATTTGAAGGACCATCTTTTTCCCAACTGCACCTACTCAAATCCAGAGAGCGCAGAGAGGGCAGGAGATGTTATGGGGCCCTTCTTCTAAGGAGGTCCATCGGGCAGAACCCAGAAAAAGGGCCTTCTCCAGGGTGGCTCCCTCTCTGTTGTTGGAAGGATCATCTTTCCCCAGTTACATCTACCTGGCCCACCAGAGGGGAGAGCAGGAGGTGATACAGGTCTCCTCTCTTAAGGAGGTCCATCTGGTGGGACCTTCTCCATGGTGGCTCCTCCCTTCTGGAACATCACCCCTGTGGAGATAACATTGGTCTCCACCTTGAGATTTTTCCTCAAGGCCTTGAAGACCAGGTCTGGCCAATAGGTCTGAGGACTCCAGGGTGATATGGAGCCCGTCATGTGATTGTTGACTGTTGTCTCCAAAAGTGTGTGGATTCATTGGGTGTTTTATGGCTGTAAGCCGCCCAGGAGTGAGTTGCATGGTCATATAAACCTCCCTGCTCAGTTTGGCTTGGGCAGGAAGGAAAGATAACTAGGTTGTAGGGCCGCTAACATCTATCCTGATCTTCAATCTTACAACCTTGAGCTCCATTAAGCGAGAAGCAGGACCAGCAAACTGCACCAGTGGGGCTATACTCTACCTGTTGGATTGTTGAATGGAATTTGGGGATCCTGAGCATCATAATTAAGCGGGGGCTGCATGACAGAGGACGTGCAACACTTCTGTGCGGTTAGCATTAACCTGGTTTGTGGCTTTGTGGCTCAGGCCAATCCAGCCACTTTGATTGTTGGATGGTTTGATGGACTCCTGTTATCTTATGGAGTTGGAAGACATCCTAGAGGTCATCTAGTCTGACCTGTTGTGTACCCAGAAGCCCAGTTAGAGCTATTGCATCAAGTTAGCCATAAGGTGGTTTGATATTAGCTTAGGTTGGGGAGATGCTAATGCTGTGGTTTATAAACTCTGCTGTGGAGTTGGTGTGTGGTTGTGGCTTCTATGGCTTGTTGTGATATGTGATACGTGTAATTGTAAACATTATCTGCTGAATCTGGTTGATAAGGAGATGTTTCTGTGGGTCTCAGGAAGATCTGAATGAAATAAAAAGTTTTGTGGGTTTACTTCTTCCTCACAAATATCTTCATAGGAAGTGTGATTCTATGCAGGTAGTCCTTGACTTACAACCATTCATTTAGTGACTGTTCAAGCAATGGCAATGAAAAAAGTGGCTTATGACCGTTTTTCACACTTAATGACCAATGCACCATTCCCATGGTTACAGGATCAAAATTCGGACACTTGGCAACTTGCTCATATTTATGACGATTTCAGTATCCCGGGGTCATGTGATCCCCTTTTGCAACCTTCTGACAAGCATGGAGAAACCAGATTCACTTAACAACATGTCGCTCATTTAATGACTGCAGTGATTCTCTTAACAACTGTGACAAGAAAGGTTGCAAAATGGACCCAAATTTACTTAACAGCTTCACTTAGCTATAGAAACGTTGGGCTTGATTGTGGTCGTAAGTTGAGGATTGATATTATTTCTAAAGCAACCTCAGCCCGGTGAGTCTGGATGGCTGACAATGCCTAAAAACACGAGAAAGGATAATTTAAAAATAAAAGAAAGCCCTCATAATTGAGATAACTAATTTAATTACTCGCATACGTATAGTGCAATGTTTTTGAGGTTTCTAGCTGACGAAATCCACCTGAACAACAAACACTTTGGCCCGAGGCAAGTGCCAGGTCTTCCAGGCCTTACGGATGGCTAACTTTTAAAATAAAGTATAATCACATTTAATCAAGCTGGGGGATTTTTTAATTTACTGAAAGGAAGGAGAACCTGGGGGAAAGAAAAGGAGCACAGATTAAAAACATAATAGCCATGGTTCCATTTTTAAACACATAATTGCCTCTTTATAACAATGCTTTACACACACACACACACACACACACACACGCCTAAAACTGAAATAGAACTAGATAGGTAGATAGATAATAGATTGAGATAGATGATTGATAAATGAATGGATGGATGGATGGAGACAGACACAGACAGACAGCTATAGATAGAGAGAGATAATAGATAGATAGACGATAAAGAGAAATACTGTAAATAAAGAAATTAGATAGGAGAGAGAGAGAGAGAGAGAGAGAGAGAGAGAGAGATCTAGATTAGGTGTCTTAGGGCCAATCACTAGGAGACAGAATATTACATATGTCTGTCACCTTGATTTACTTATAAAGTCATCAAGGCAGATAAAAATTAAATAAATAAATGTTGTGAGGGACCTTGATGCTCTCTGAGATTGTTGGAATAATTAGCAGACATTTCATGACCCAACTAGGTGACATCATCAATGCTTGAAGGGAGTGTGAGGTTTGCTCAGTTTATATTTCATTACATTGTATTTTTATACTATACTATACTATACTATACTATACTATACTATACTATACTATACTATACTATACTATACTATACTGTAGTGTACTGTACTATATTATACTATTACTATACTAATACTATACTTATTAGATTAGTTCTAAGAGGGAAATAATTCAGTTCAATAATATAAATAATATATAAACAGATAGGCACCCTCAGTTCCTTGTAGCACTGATAATGTTACCTATTTGGGTCATGAAATGCCTACAAATTACACCACCAAGATCAGAGAGCATCAAGGACCCTGCAGTCCACCCTTCCTCCTCCTCCTCTTCCTCCTCCCCTGTGAATCCCATTCCCTTCTGGCGCTGCTGATGTTTCTATGAATTCTCGGTTCTCCATGCAAGCTGTTCTCCTTAATTCAATTAAGTTCTTTTCATGGAGTAGCCAAACACAATTTCTAAAATGCCGATTGTTTGGGGGTTCTTTTAAGGCCACCCATCCTAACTTTGATTAGAAATTCCTGCCTTTCTCAAAGGCCAAGTCGGGCACGGAAGGTGATTAACCCAGAATAAACTATCCCCTTCCTCCTCCTCCTCCTCCTCCTCCTCCTTTCATTCCACGTCAATGATCTCTCCCCCACACCCACCCACCGTGTATCTAAAACGCCCCGATATTCAGTCTTTGCCAGCCCTCTCACTTAAATGGTTCGAAAAGGAAAGGAAACCCATTAATTTTCACTGCCCTCCCAAAGACACCCAAACATTGGACCCCGTTGGGCTAAGAGGTGATCTGGAGCCTCTCTTAATGACCTCGAGGAGGGCTGACCAGGGGAAGACCGAAGTCAACCTAATGAAGAAGTCGGATTTGGGCTCTCTGGC